ACGAGCCTCCAAGTAAGGTTCCTCATCAAGTCGCACCCGACGGTGATCTACTTTCTTACAATGCTTGTCGGGGCCGGTGGCAACGCTGGGGGGCAAAGTACCGTGCCTTGGCGAGGGTCGAAGGTTTAGGGTTTAGAGTTTACTTGGAGGGTCATGGGTATAAGTGGCGCTAGAACTATCCCGAGTAAAGTTATAGTCAATTATACTTGTAACAACCTACCGTACTACCCACCTTATGTAAGTACCCAAGTAAGGCTTATGGTTTCAGGTGCAAGTTGGTGGCATGGTTTGATCAGTGCCCATGCTCCTCCAAGCAGACCGTATCTCCTGAGCCCTGAACCTGCAAGTAGGGCTCAACCCCCCCGCCCAACCCAAAACCCTAAGCCTAAACCCTAAACCCTAAACGCTAAACGCTAAACGCTAAACCCTAAACCCTAAACCCTAAACCCTAAACCCTAAACCCTAAACCCTAGACCCTAAACCCCCTTATGCCTAAACCTGCATTAATCGGGCGTTTGCTGCCTATGAACCTCCAACAATTGAGGTACTGGTTGTCCGCCGCCTGGCCCTGGCGAGCGCTCGCTGGAAGGCTTCTTTTTGTCGGAGAGGGTGGGGGTGGGGGGGGGGGGGGGTGCCGAGTGTGGTCCAGTTTAGGGTTTAGGGTTTGGGGTTTAGGGTTTGGGGTTTAGGGTGTAGGGTTTAGGGTACTTACGACACATGCCCAAGGATTGGGCTGACTTCATGTCGTCTTGGGCTGTTGAGACCACTGAACCCTCAACCCCAAACCCGCATCGGATGTTGAGTTTCAGATGGTTAGCCAGCCCATAGCTTCTTCTGTGCCTTCGGCCGGCCTGTCGGGATATGTATATATATATATATATACATATGGAGTCAGTTCCCTATATCATGTCTTTGTGTGCCCCAAATTATAGGGGCCGCCTGAAAACAAGGACCGCAAACCGGACCACGATTTGGAGAACTCGCGAAAAACCACATATCTGAAACATATGTATATATATATATATATCTATATGTAGACTTTGCCGACAACTTCATGGAGGTATCTCACGACGCGGCGCATGCTTGGAGGAGGTTAGATTGCATGAACGTGCCGCAAGCCTGTAGGGGTATGTGAGGGGCTCAGGTGCTTAGATGAGTTGTAGCTCCGGTTTTGTTTTGGCCCAAGCATAGCGTGTGCAATCATCCGAATTATCCCGGGTACATGCATTCAAGTACGATGAAGAGTCACCGTGCTGTTCTGGTCAAGCGTGTTTTCATGTGCGACCCACGTCAGACCAGTCATTCGTGCACTCCTCCCAACCGTGAACGCAAAAACCCTAACACCCTAAACCCTAAACCCACTCATGTGGAGTTGGTTCTCAGCCCAGGGGAGGCCTTCTACCTGTACCGAACCTAGCCCAAGGAAACGGAAGTCACCCGCCCTGAACCCTAAGCCCTAGGCCACCTCAAACCCTAAACCTCAAACGCTAAACCCTAAACCCCAAACCCTGAACCCCGCACAGAGCCAGTCGACTGGCGAGGCCAAGGGAGTGGAGCCTGCCGTTTCGGTGAGACGGATCGTGGGCCCAGCACCTGGGCAGGGTTTAGGGTTTAGGGTTCAGGGTTTAGGGTTTAGGGTGTCATGAGGGTTTGAGGGTTTAGGGGTTTGCTGAGGTTTGAGGGTCTGCTAGGGTTTGAGGGGTTTGGGGGTTTGCTGATATTTCAGGGTTTGCTAGGGTTTGAGGGTTTAGGGGATTGCTGATTTTTCAGAGTTTGCTAGGGTTTGAGGGTTTGGGGGTTTAGGGGTGTGCTGAGGTTTGAGGGTTTGCTAGGGCTTGAGGGTTTGAGGGTTTAGGGGTTTGCTGAGGTTTGAGGGTTTGACAGTGTGGGAGTGGGGTGGAGGGGTGCTGTCAACTTTCGACGTGCAGCGGCGAAGGGGGTAGCTTCCTCGGTGCTTCTGGCTCTTGAAGGTGTCTGCTGTAGCCTTAGCCCATGGACAGAGTTTTTCGCTTAGAGCCCGAGTCTAAGTGAACTGTACCCTAAACCTTAAAACCCTAAACCGTAACCCCACTACCCGAAACCCTAAACCCCTAAACCCCTAAACCCCCAAACCCCTAAGCCCCTAAATCCCCAAACCCTTGAACCCCTAAACCCCTAAACCCACGAACCAATGCCTCAGGAGATCATCGTGGGCGCCAAGCTGGCGCTTGTCCTCTTTGGTGCCGCCTTCCTCCGCTGCGCGATCTTTAAGGCACGGGAGCATCTGGGTCAGGGGTTGCAGGGTCCGGGGTTTAGGGGTCAGAGGTTTAGTTTAGGGGTTTATGGTTTCGATCTCAGGGTTTAGGGCTCTTTGTTCAGTTGTAGTGTTTGGTGCAAAGGCTGTATGCTGGCAGATTCAGCAGTTGCAGTACTGAGGCCTTACAGGACTTTCAATGCTGGCTATTGCCTTTGTGGATCTTGTGAGAGATATAGCCCATAATTAAGGAACGTTCCTTGAAACTCCAGTACGGATGGTAATTGTCAGATTTAATTAAGGAATCTTCCTGAAGTGAGAGGGAGAGGTATTGGGCCCGACTATCCCAAACCCTAAGCCCTAAGCCCGAAACAAGCTTGCTCTCGAAAGCGTCCCGAACTCCGATGCCTTACGGAGAACAGTTTGGGCGTTGAACACCGCTGAGTCCCCACCCCAAACTGTATTTACTGTAGGGCCTAGGGTAAACCCTAAACCCTAAAACCTACTAAACCCTAAACCCTAAACCTTAAACCCTAAACCCTAAACCCTAAATCATGCGGACTTCAGAGTCCTCCGCCTCAACATCACGCGGGAAGCCGAGGTCTACGGCGCGGAGTGCGTCGCCATCTGCTTGTCCATGCCCCCTGTCAGCTGGGAGTGGGAGTTTGACAAAAGCCTACAACGGAACTAAACCCTAAACCCTAAACCCTAAACCCTAAACCCTAATTAAACCCTAAACCCTGAACCCTAAACCCCAAACCCTAAACCCTAAACCCTAAAGCCTAAACCTTGAACTCTATACACCCTAAGCCCTAAACACTATACACCCTAAACGGCTGAACCCCTCAAACACGCGCCCTCCTTGTCTTCTAGGTTGGTCATCGTCTTCTGCTCGACGGCCCTGGGCGCGGCCCTCCCCATCGTCCTCAACAAGCGGCTTTGCAGGGGTTTTGGGGTTTTGGGTGTGTTGGGTGTTTCGGGTGTTTTGGGTGTTTTGGGGTTTTTGGTTGGGGGTTTGAGGGGTTTTGGGTTTTCGGGTTTTTGGGGTTTTGGGTCTTTGGGTTAGGATTTAGGGGATTAGGGCTTGAATTTGGGAGTTTAGTGTTTAGGGATCTCTGCAAATCCTAGACCCTGAGCCTTCAGTTCATTTATCTATAGTTCCCGTGCTTCAGGTTGTTTGGGGTCTGTACTTGGAGGTCCAGGGGTACTTCGATCTAATTTTTTTGTAGTTCCCCCACGGATCTAGAAGCCCCCAACGTTTGCCCCCCATGAACCGAGGCTTGGATTGGATCCCGCACATGCTGGCGCTACGATCCAAGTGCTCCGTGGATCTGACAATTGACTGGTTGGTTTTGGGATGTTCCCCCCTGATACTCGTACCCCTATTATAATCCCTATAAAGGACTCTGAGCCTGCACCTGTTAGAGCATGCACTTTGAGACGCATCACGAAGCGCAGACCGGGGCTCAGCGCGTTGCATCAATCAAGTCATTCCTTCTGCCCTGAACCCGCAGCCCTCAGCCCTCAACCCCAAACCCCTACGCGCTTTAGGGTTTGGGGTGTGATGTTTAGGACCAAAGTTTAGGGTTTAGGGTTCCAAAATTCCGAAGGGCACTTGCAGAATGAGGCTGATGGATGTCAGTGGTGTGGCGCTGACTTGCGCAGGGTCCTCAGCCGAGGACTCCCAAAACATGTCCCACAGCCATGATAGGCCTTCATGCTCGGAGGCCCGATTTCGGATTCAGCTGTTAGGAAAAAATCTGCGCTCGATGAGACGCACAACAGGGACCCTAATGTAGAAGAGCCCCCCCCCCCCCACCCCCCCCCCCCACCCCGCCCCCCCACCCCCCCCCCCCCCCCACCCCCCCCCCCACCCCCCCCCCCCCCACCCCCCCCCCCACCCCATTTGTGTAGAGGTCCAGGTGAACCCCTACCCCGAATCCCCACAATGTGGCGGGATTGCAGCTTGTCGGCAGCTGTGCCTGAGGTCATCTCCAGCATGGTTCTGGGATTCAAAGCCGCCTGGAAGCATGCGGGGGCCCGTTCATAAGTGGTACTTAGGGTTAGGGGCTCAGGGTTGCGGAATCCTGTTGCTTGTATTCTGAGAAGTCCTTGAGGCAGTGGAAGGCCCTAAAACCTAAACATTAAACTCTGAAGACTATGGTTCCGTTCTTCTGAATCCCCTGCCCTAAACCTTCAACCGAAAACCCCTTAGCCGCAGGCCTCTAAGCCCCAACATCTGCAAGGATGGCTCCGTGCATGGAGAGACGACGACCAGCCTCAGCGTCGTCTCCGAGAGCCTGCACAAGGCCGCCGCACAGCTCTTTCTTGTTCAGTATTATCTTGCCACATACCAGTATTTGCATATCCCATACCCTAGTCCCGTCCATGTGATATGATGAGTAAGGGTGATTGTGATATATCGGATTTGTTGAATATGATTTAAGAGGTTTATATTGACATGAAACTCAATGTGCAAGTATGTTTAGTATATTCAAGTGGGCACATATGTATACATATATCAGTTTTCACACTTTACATAAGTGTAAGTATATATATATATATGTATATATGTATCTAGAGATACTACCTTGTAGATTTTGAAATATATTTGGGATTTCGTAAACGATGTGGCAAGAAGAAACACAGCACCATACGCCCTCTAAATCCCAAACTCGAAAACCCCAGCCCCTAGACCCTGAACCCCCTAAACCCCAGGCCCTCCGCACCCCCTGAAGCCCTAAAGCCTAAACCCTAAACCCTTTTGTTGGCCTCTTTAAGTTTCAAGGTTTCAGGGTGAAAAGTCCAAAAAGCAGGCGGCTCCGCCGACCCCTGCACCAGCGCCGGTGCCTTGAAGCTCAGTTGGGATCCGGACCTCCCCCCTTTAAAAAGGGGGGGGGAAAGGCCCCTCTGACATGCTGAGCCGCTGAGCTTGGGGAAAACCAGGGCTTTTTGGGTTTAGGGTTTCAGGTTTGGGGTTTAGGGCTAAGGGTTTAGGGTTTAGGGTTGGGTTTAGGGCTTAGGGTTTAGGGTTTAGGGGTTTGCTGTCCTCCGCTAGCTACATGAAGCCACAGGGAACAGCCTCAGAGAGATCGTGCCTCCCGCTTCATGCCCTGTTCGCGCGCCAGCTGCTATTTGCTCTCAGCTCGCAGAGTTCGGATGATGGCCTTGCCCCCTCGAGAGGCGATGCATCGGCAGACGTCTTTGCAACACAACGCCGACACATTCAAAGGTTGTCGTGGTAATCGCCTCTTTCAAGACTTATTCCTGACCCAAGAACCACCTGGTTAGCAGCAGCTGTCCAGGACACACGATGTACGCCAGAAAGGTTGAGGTTCTTAGGGTTCTTAGGATTTCTTGGGGGTCCTTGCCCGCGGTTCGGTTGCAGGGTTTAGAACAAGTTCTCCCGCAACACGAAGCCATGGATGCCTCGGCGCTTGAAGGCGGGGTGTTTTTGGGGGCTTCGGGGATCTTGCCGGACTTAGGGTAGGGGTTTAGGGTTTCGGGTTTGGGGTTTTCGGGGTTCAGGGTTTGGGATTTTGGGGTTGGGTTGTAGGGTTTTTGGTGTTCAGGGTTTAGGGTTTGGGGTTAAGGGTTTCGGATTTCGGGGTTTTGGGTTTAGGGATTGGTTGTAGGGAAAGGTTTGAGCTGTCAGGGGTTCGAAGAAGCGCATGGCTCCTCTCAAATTTCGCCTGTTGCTAAGGAGTTTAGGATTTAGAGCCATTTCCCCGCGAAGCAGCGAAGCAGCAGAAAGTAAAAGCCCGCTGTGAGGCAAGATGGGCGGGGGCCCCAGGAGCAGGTCCTTGAAGGGTTGGGCTGGTCCAGGGTTTAGGGCCGGGTCTTCACAGAATCTGTAGCCCCAGGCTCCCAAGGGCAGGAAGTGAGCGTGAAACCCAAACCCTGCAGCCTAAACCCTGGCAAAGACCCAAGTAGAGAGGATTTAGGGCTCAGGGTTGATCAGCCCCGCTGCCCATAAAATATCTACAGTTGGGCTGATGCTGCAGTGAGGTTCCTTGCTACATATTCTGCAAGTAGAACCACAACAGTGAACTTAGGGGGCTTCTTTTTGGGTTGCAGATACCCATGAGCCTCATGGCGGGCAACCGAACCATGGGGCCACGAAGCAGTTGTCTGCGACAAAAAGGCCTTTTCAGTGCATGGAGGAAGTCCCTACAAACTCCTGACCTGCGAGCTGACAGGCCAACGAGCTCACAGAAAATGAAACTAAGTGCGATAGTGGGCAAAATGTTAAGCTCTCTGTGCTGTGGAGGCCCACACAGGCCTGCGCAACCCGCATCGCAACCATGACTTGACCCGGCCCACGCCTGCGCAAGCCGCAGACCTTCCCCAATACGCAAAACATTGGGCACTATCGACCTGAACGGCATTTCTGCTGCGAGACAAAGAAAGACCTTCGAAGTTCTGCAAAATGGACCTTGCCAGCATGGGCGTGTATTGCCGAGGCCCCTCCAAGCCCCGATAGGTCCGATAGATGTAAGTAGACTTGTTTTGGGTGGGTATGTCCGCAGATTGCTACACACTCACAAAGCGTCTTTCCGTTTGGTTGCCCCAACGCTAAAACCCGAAACCCTAAACCCTAAACCCTAAAACTCTAATTAAACCCTAAGCCCCAAACTCTAACAACCCATTCATAAAGTCTCCCTGGAAACGTGCCACTGCGGCCCAAGGTGGAGAAAGCTCGGCCGCCTCCCTGGCATCCTTCTCCGAGGCCGGGACTCTTCAAAACCCTGAAGTTGAGGTTTAGGTTTTAGGGTTTCAGGGTTTAGGGTGTAGGGTTTAGGGTTTGAGGTTTAGGGTATGAGGTTTAGGGTTTAGGGTTGAGGGGGGGGGGGACGGTCGCTTGGGGATTGACCCTCTTGTCCCTTCTGAGAACTATAGCTCCGATCTTTGGTTTAGGGTTTATGCCGACTGCCAGCCAGGGGCAGCAAAGCCCGCTGCTGGCTGCCATCCGCAGGGAGGTGGAGGCCCGGGCCCCAGAAACCAGGGTTTAGGGCTCGAGGTCGGGGTTGGGGTTAAGTTTTGATTCAAGTGGTACGTGTTGCAAGAGATCAAGAACATTGAAGACTTGAACGACTTTTGGGCGAACGTTTTGGATGTTATTTGGCTGATTTTCTGGGTGTGGTTTTGGAGAGGCTGCAAAACAGGTCAGAGAGGGAGATCTTGCGCAAACCAAAAGAAGTCTTCGAAGTAAGTCGTTCCATGTGAGAAAGCGGAGATATCTTTGGTGACTTACCACAACAAGCGAGAATTCCGAAAGAATTCATTCCGTTGGCAAAAATGACGATCTTTGTCAATCTTCTGACAGAAGCCTTTTCAGTTGATTTGTCACAAGGCGCGAAGATGCCCTTGAGTTCATAAATGCCCCAGATTAGGCTACTGCTGGCTAGAACCAGAACCACAGTAGTCCCACTTTCCTAGGTAGAATTTGGGGACCCTTCAAAGGGAACCCGTCTCAACCCTCTTCCGGCTCTCTTAAACAGAGACCTTATTGAGGGGGTCTATATCCCCAAAAGTCCCGCAATCCTATCCTATACTTCAAGTCCAGCCAAGAACCTCCAAGTAGGGCAGAACTTGCAGAGCAGACCCGAGCCAGTCTGACGCAGAAGCCTACGCCATGACCCATATCATCCTGCCCTGAATGTCCCTTAATATGATTGCAGCACAAAACATATGGGAGTTTACGACCCGAAAATAGACCCCCCAAATAGTAAGATTCTCTTCTAATAAGGACCCAATAAGGTACCCCTATTTTCGGAACACCCATATCCTGCTTACATCTCGGCTCCCTGTTTTTTGTATCTGAGGCCGTGGAAGATCGGCTGCTGGTGCGGGTCGGACCTTACCCTGGGGGTGGTCGATGGGTTCAATGACAGCAGCTCATGGGTTTAGAGTTTAGGGTTTGGGGTTTAGGGTTTAGGGTTTAGGGTTTAGGGTTGCATTCTCCAAAGAAGGAGGGTTTCGGGTGGAGTGGCCTCCAGCATGGGTTTGATCGTTTCAAGGTTTCGCTGTGCTGGCAGTGTTGATTGAAGCATGGGGTCCAGCCTTCGAGCCTAGCCCGGGCGTCTCAGAAAGAGGCTCCTAGCTTTCTCACCCTTCATGAACTATGAGCCATTTTCGATTCCGTGCTTGTGTTCAGAGGGCTACAAAGACTGCAAGCGGTACACCAAAAACACCAAGTGCAAATCTGGGGCCACTCAGCCAGATACTCTCCGCCGAGACCATGTGGTGTCTGCAGCACCGTATCGGCCACTTCGCTTCTTCACAAAAGTAGCCTGACTGCGCGAGGCGCCCATCGATTTTACACATGACAGTGGGCCGCGCGTGGGAAAAACGGAACCCCTACGCCCCAAGCCTGGTGCCAGCGCATCTTGAGAAATTTCGGACCCCAAACCTGGCAAAAGTAGAGCCCCCAACCCCACCCATCAAAACCCGTTTGATGTTTTAGTTATCATAAGGATCCCAACATGATTTATTTTGACGTTTCGTTCTGGGGGACCCTCAAGCCAAGCCCAAAAAACTTCTTCACCCTAGAAGCAAAACCTGACCCCTAAACCCAATAAACCTTTAAATCCTGAAGAAGCTTGAACCCTAAACCCTAAATCCTAAACCCTAAACCCTAAACCCTAAACTTAAATTAAAACCCCAAACCCTGAACCCTGAACCCTAAACCCTAAACCCTAAACCCAATGGGCCTCTAAATCCTGAAGAAGCTTGAAGCCAGATTACGCGCCTGGAGCGTCAGAGCTTCGATGCAACAGCGGCCTGGGGCCTAAGCCTTCGAGGGTTTAGGGTTTAGGGTTTAGGGTTTAGGGTTTAGGGTTTGAGGTTTAGGGCTTAAGGAAATAGGTTTAGGGTTTTGGGATTTATGATTTGGGCAGTTTTCTCCAAATTGGGGTCCATGTTAGCGTTTAAGGTCTCAGGGTTAACTTTGAGTTCTGATCCCAGGTCCCAGCGCCTTACATGTCATTCCTCCTTTACGCCTGAAGCTTTAACTCGTGCTTCCCTTTTCAGTCCATGTTGCAATGCTCCAAGAAGTTTCGGGTTCAGGCCCTAAACCCTAAACCCTACACCCTAAACCCTAAACCCTAAAACCTATTTCGTTGTTTTTGTCGAAAGCCCGGTTTCCCCTCCCTCTAGGGTTGTTTGCGCCCTTAAGCCGAAGCCCTCAACCCAAAACGCTTGAAGCACGTCGCCTCACCGACACTAGGGTTTAGGGTTTAGGGTTCAGGGTCTAGGTTCAAGAGCGAAGAAAACGGTACTTTCGCAGAATATTCTCCAGCGTAACTACACCCAATGTCGCTGCAAAGGTCTTCTTCTCGTCCTCGTTTTTCTTAGTGATCCTGTCCTCTCAGGGCCTGTGCTAGGAGACAAACTAAACCCTAAACCCTAAATCCTAAACCCTATATCCTAAACCCTAAATCCTAAACCCTAAATCCTAAACCCTAAATCCTAAATCCGAAATCCTACACCCTAAATCTTGAATCTTACATGCTAAGCCCTAAGCCCTCAACCCCAAGCCTCCAAAGGTACTGGAAAAAGTGGCACCAAATGAGCTGAAGCTGCTGGAGGCAGGCGGAAAACTCAAAACCCGAAGCCTTAAACCCTCAACCCTACTAAACCCTAAACCTTGAACCCTAAACTCTAAACCCTACACCCTAAACCCTAAACCCTAAATCTTGAACCCTAAACCCTACCTCGGGTGTGCGATCAGACCCCTAGTCTTACGGAGGGTCCCTGGAGAAAATAAGACATCATCTGGGCCCTTTTGGTACTTGGACAACCCAAATACATCTCCCAAGGATAGAATGGCTATAGCATTCAGCCAGAAGAGCAACAATGCAATGCGACTCTGAAGAGTCAATGTTGGTGGCAGGTTTTGGTATTTGACGGAAAGAAATATGCCACCCTAAACCCCAGAAATCCAAACACCCTAGAACCCTAGGACCCTAAAACCCTAAACCCCTAAAAACCCAAAACCCCAAAACCCTAAACCCCTAAAAATCGACAGGTGGAGTCGCGGCAGCGGGAGCAGCAGCCTCGGCTTCGCCAGGGCAGCTTTACGGGACTGCGGGGAGGGGGGGGAAGGGGGGGGGGGGCGGTCAGGTGCACGGGCGAATGGGGCTAAACCCCATTCGCCCGTTTGTCTGTTTGAAAACCCGACGTCTTTGCTAACTTCAAGCAACACAAACCCCCAAACCCAAGACCCCTCAACCCGAAGTACATGCTGCAAAAATGTCGGCTTGGGGCAGCTGCCAAGGTTTGGTCGAAGCCCTTGCTGTTTCAGTGGCCGCAATGCCTTAAACCCCAAACCCTTTCTGGGCCGAGGGCCCACCAACACTTGACTGACTCTGAGCCGGGAACTACGGAAGTCGGGATTCCTATACAACCTCCTCGTACATATCTATACCTATGTGTAGAGACACACACACACACAATAATACACTGTTTTTGGGGATATATAAGGGCCCTACTGCCGGAATTCCTTACTGGCAGCCAGTAAGAGACCGAATGGGGCGGCCCGCAGAGGTCCGAGCGGACATTGGCGCAGCTGGATGGACTCGTGCTTGAACCCTGGAGTGCCGGAGATAGGGCCGAAACCCTGAACTCCCCAAGCTTCCCAAATTCCCGAAACTCCTGCAGCCTCAACTTTCCCTATACTTGGAAACCCCTGACTGAGGGCCCTGCAGCTGTTTCAAAGGGTGAAGGTTGAGACAGCGTCACCTCTGCCGCAAACTCGAAACCCCAAAGCCCCGAAAACGTGTGCTTGCTGATGCAAGCGCTTAGGCTGAGGGCTGCAGCCCACACACACAAGGGCTTTGCCGGAGCTTGACATCTACAAGGTCTTAGGGTCAAGGGATTGAAGGGTGTAAGGGTTTGAAGAGCCCAAGTAGGGTTTAGGGTTCAGGGTTTACGGTTTACGGTTTACGGTTTAGGGTAGTTCCAAGCCCCTACGAAACCTTCAGGGACCCTGAACCTTAAAAGCGGTGCATGCCAAGGCTTAATTGGCGTTATTGGGGGGCGATTGACACCCTAAACCCTAGACCCTAAACCCTAAACCCTAAACCCTAAACCTTAAACCCTAAACCCTAAACCCTAAGCCCTAAGCCCTAAACCCTCAAATTCCTTCGAAGGGGGAACGCTAAAACCTTCACCGAGGCGCGGCGTCAACGAGGAGCTGCAGTCGATGGTGAAGCGCACGGCCGCCGCACCCCGGCCGCCCTACCTACGGGCTTTGGGGTTCAGGGTTTAGGGTTTAGGGTTTAGGGTTCAGGATTTTAGGGTTTGGGGTTTGGGGTCTAGTGTTCAGGGTTTAGGGTTTAGGCTTCAGGGTTTAGGGTCTAGGGTTCAGGGCTCAGGGTTCCTCAACTTGGAGGTTCATGGCTACTTACAGACAAGGTGTAGAAGTGAGGGTAGTTCTAGCCCATATTCAGGGGTCCTCATAACACGAAGTGCGCGTGATAAGCGCGTGGCCTGGCCACTGAAAGAAAGTTTGAAAGGACGCGCGCGGCTGATGCTCGTGATACGCGCGGGGTTCATGCTTACGGGGCCGGTTGTCAAGGGCTCTTGGGTTTAGGGCTTTGAGGAGCCCTGGAGCCTTGAAAATCCTAAACACATGGCCAGGCCCCACGCGCATCATGGGCATCCGCCGCGCATCAGCTTGGGTGTGTCCTGCAATGGCCAGGCCCCATGCGCATCATGAGCATCAGCTTGGGTGTGTCCTGCAATGGCCAGGCCCCACGCGCATCATGAGCATCAGCTTGGGTGCGTCCTTCAGGCAATGGCCAGGCCCCACGCGCATCATGAGCATCAGCTTGGGTGTGTCCTTCATGCAATGGCCAGGCCCCACGCGCATCATGAGCATCAGCTTGGGCGTGTCCTGCAATGGCCAGGCCCCACGCGCATCATGAGCATCAGCTTGGGTGCGTCCTTCATGCAATGACCAGGCCCCACGCGCATCATGAGCATCAGCTTGGGTGTGTCCTTCATGCAATGGCCAGGCCCCACGCGCATCATGAGCATCAGCTTGGGCGTGTCCTGCAATGGCCAGGCCCCACGCGCATCATGAGCATCAGCTTGGGTGTGTCCTTCATGCAATGGCCAGGCCCCACGCGCATCATGAGCATCAGCTTGGGTGCGTCCTTCATGCAATGACCAGGCCCTACGCGCATCATGAGCATCAGCTTGGGTGTGTCCTTCATGCAATGGCCAGGCCCCACGCGCATCATGAGCATCAGCTTGGGTGCGTCCTTCATGCAATGGCCAGGCCCTACGCGCATCATGAGCATCAGCTTGGGTGTGTCCTTCATGCAATGGCCAGGCCCCACGCGCATCATGAGCATCAGCTTGGGTGCGTCCTTCATGCAATGACCAGGCCCTACGCGCATCATGAGCATCAGCTTGGGTGTGTCCTTCATGCAATGGCCAGGCCCCACGCGCATCATGAGCATCAGCTTGGGTGCGTCCTTCATGCAATGACCAGGCCCTACGCGCATCATGAGCATCAGCTTGGGTGTGTCCTTCATGCAATGGCCAGGCCCCACGCGCATCATGAGCATCAGCTTGGGTGTGTCCTGCAATGGCCAGGCCCCACGCGCATCATGAGCATCAGCTTGGGTGTGTCCTTCATGCGGCCCCACGCGCATCATGAGCATCAGCTTGGTAAGCTAGAAGCCCTCAGCCTAAACCATGAAGCTGAAGGTTCGGGGGTTCAAGGCGGGGCCAACCGATTTAGGGTGAAGCGTTTAGGGCCCAGAAGCCCCGAAAACCCGAAAACCCCAAAACCCCAATATCCTAAAACCCCCAAACTCCCAGAAACCTAAACCCTGATGACCCCTCGCGTCGTTCCCCTAAACCCGAAACCCTAAACCAGAAAGCCTAAACCCTAAACCCTAAACCCCAAACCCTAAACCCTAAATTCCAAACCCTAAGCCCGAAGCCCTGAACCCTGAACCCTAAGCCCGAAACCCTAAACCCTAAACCCCGAACCCTGAACCCTGAACCACGGAGAAAAGACACGAGAAGCATCAGGCCGAGGCGCGCCTCCGGGACGCCGAGGCGCATGGGGAGGTTTGGGGTTCGGGGTTTAGGGTTTCGGGGTTCGGGTTTAGGGTTTGGGGTCTAGGGTGAGGGTTTCGGGGGTTTAGGGTTGGGGTTTCGGGTTTCGGGTTACGCGGTGCAACCCCTGATTAAGAGCTAAGAGTACGTAAGCCTAAACCCGCAGCCCGAAACCCTAAGCCGTAAATCCCCAACCCCAAACCCTAAACCCTAAGCCCTAAACACCCTAGCGCTGAAAACAGGCTCTCCCTTTCAGCTGCTATTCCTAGATTGGAGAATGGCGTTCGACAAAGTTGATCATGATTCTATGATCATAGCACTGGAGCGCCTTGGAGTACACCGCCAATATGTCGACATTATTAGAGATCTTTACACCAACCAGACATTCTATACGCGAGGACCCTTCGGGGACACCGCCAAGGCTACACCGCACACCGGTATTCGGCAAGGATGCCCCCTAAGCCCGTATTTATTTATCATGGTTATGACAGTGCTTTTCTCTGATGTAGACCGCAGGCTCCGTATACATGGCACCCCCACTAACTCCTGGTCGGTAGGCAAACCAGTATACGATCTAGAATACGCTGATGACACGCTTCTCATTTCGGTTACAAAGCCACAAATGAACGACATACTTAAAGCAATTGAGGTAGAAGCCACCCTATACGGGATGCTTCTGAACAAAGAAAAAACAGTCTCTCTGGAGTACAACGCCGACGCCCCCCAGGTCCTATACTTTGCCGATGGCTCCCCGGTTCCCATAACCACTGACACTAAATATTTAGGCTCTCAGGTTACATGGGACAAGGCCACTAAGCATGCCATAGAAGCTCGTAAAGCCAAGGCGCACATTTCCTACATCAAACTCCAGCATTTCTGGAGGTCACGCATCAATTCTAGAACTAAAACTAGAATCTTCCATGCCATAGTCTTGCCTACATTACTGTACGGATTGGATACGCTTACTCTGGAAATTAAGCACCTAAAGACCATAGATGCATGGTACCACAAATATCTTCGGAGAGCACTAGAAGTCAAGGACTCATATTATTCTCACATCTCGAATCGAAGGGTATGGACGCTAGCGGGCCGCCCCACGCTGCCATCCCAAATTTTGACCTCTGCCCAGTTAAAGCAATTGGCAAATAGCTTGGCTACACCGCCCAACAATCCGGTGCACCATGTAGTATACTCTCCGGGTTGTAAAGATAGGATCAAATTCACGAAGTCTTCACACAGAGGACATCCCCAAAGATATTGGCTGGAACTCAATACCGAGTATGCATTACCGGTGCTTAAAGAATACATAAGGCTAAACCGCATAAACACGGAGGAGCAAAGGCAAGACTTCTTAGGCCTCAAACACCTCCTTAATAGGGACCCCCTCTTCCTGTCTTTCCTGGAATCTGCGCCGACGCGCTGCCCCCACTTGTTCAAAAGACACGCCAAAGCTCTTGCATGCGCATGGCTGCCATAAAAAAAAAGCCCTAAACACTAAACTTAAACCCTGAGCCCTAAACCCACGAGGGCATTTCACCAGGCTTGGTGACTTGGTGACTGCTCCCATGCCCCGCAGCTTTGGTTCGAGGTTTGGGAGTTCAGAACTTCCGACACCGCCGAGTTTTAGGGTTTAGGGTTTAGGGTTAGGGGTTTTTAGGGTCTAGGGTTTAGGGTTAGGGGTTTGTAGGGTCTTTAGCTTAGCAACCCCTGTAAACCCTAGCAACCTTAAACCCTGTAAACCCTCCTCAACCCTAACCCTACACTTGGTTGCCCAGTGGTACCCTTTTGCCTTTCTTGGGTTCAAGGTTCCCTTGCAAAGTAGCCAACTGCAAGAAGGGTACCCTTAGCAGAATATGGTGACTGGGCTACCTTCATGGCCCGAAGACCCCAGAAGCGTGTAGCGCTCCCGTCGATGGGGCGGAAGAGGTGCCGGGTCCAGTGAAGTTGGGAAGCTTGGGAAGTTTGTTAGGGTTTAGGGTTTGGGGTTTGGGGTTTAGGGTTTAGGGTTTAGGGAAGTTTAGGAAGCGTAGGGTTGTGTTGGTGAGGGTTACAGGCTTCCGGAGGTCCAGGGTTTAGGATTCTAGGCAGTGCTCGGGCTTCGGTATCTAGGTTCTGGAGCTCCTGTTATCGTGTTGACAAGCAGACCCCCACCCTGCCTAGTGCCATTTAAGTAGAGAGTTTTTCGTAGACTGATAGTGCCACTCATTCGGTAGGCCCTTGGGACTTTTTTTTGTCTTGGGTTTGAGAGGATCAAATTTTGGAATGATTTTCAGGGGGCTTTAGGAGCACTCCAAGCCAAGAGCCGTTTTTTCGAATATAATTTTTTGGTTTGGGGCGGTCAAGCTTTCACAAGAAGACGGGGCGCTGGCTGCACAGGCTTCCGCCGCACTGAGGTCGCGGGCAAAAGCTCCGTCCGGGCCTAAGCCCTAAACCCTAAACCCTAAACCCTAAACCCCAAACCCCAAACCCCAAACCCTAAACCCTAAACCCTAAACCCTAAACCCTAAACCCTAAACCCTGAACCTCCAGAGTTCTGACAGTGGCAGAGAATGCTGGGGTTCCCAAATAACCTCAAACAAGTCAATTGTTGAAGGGTGCCACCTCCCAGGCCCAAACCCAGAACCCGAAGGGCTTCCCAAATTTCATTTTTTTTTCTCTCTCTCTCTCTCTCTCTCTCTCACTCCGCTCTCTATCTCACTCTTTCTATCTCACTCACACTCTCTCTCTCCCTCCGTCATGAAGAGGCCATCAAGATGTTGTACTTGTTTCAAGGAGGAAGAGTGAAGTAACTCAACCCTCAACCCTCAACCCTGAATTCCTCACCCCTTCAAGCCCAGTGTTTCCTTCGCCGGCGCTCTGGCTCCCGCAGTGTTTCCTTGATCCCTGTGTGGGTGCTGAGCCGGGAAAAGGACGACTCGACAGGCCCCAGAAACGCCATGACCTTCAACAAGCGCCTCAGGCTGCTTAGAGGGTTTAGGGTTTAGGGTTTAGGGTTTAGGGTTTAGGCCTTAGGGCTTAGGGCTTAGGGCTCTTTCAGGGCTCTGAAAATTCTGCAGAGATTGCAGGGCCTTGGTTGGTTTTTTGGAGCGCAAACCGTCAAACTTCATGCCCTGAACTCCTCGATGGATTCAAGGGTTCGTTCCCGGATCTGCGGGCGCCAGTTTCAAGTGTCGGGTGGGGTGAAGGTTCAAAATTAGTTAGAGGAAATGCTGAACCCTGAACACAAAGAAGGCTTCAAAACCCCTAAGCCCCAAAACCCTAAACCCAGAAAAACACCATAAAAATCTCAAGAACCCCCCCAACGACCGTTTAAAACCCTGAAAGGCCTTAAAAACCCTCAAAACCCTCAGGATTTTTGGGCTTTAGGGTTTTGGGCCTTAGGGTTTTCAGGGCTTAGAGAGCGGGCGCAAAAGCGTTCAGTCTTTGAAACGGCCACATGAGGGTTTGCGTTTGGGGTTCAGTATTTAAAGGGTTCAGGGTTTAGGGTTTAGGGTTTAGGGTTTGGGGTTAAAGATTAGGGTCAGAGTCGCATGACTAAATTTCAAGATTGTCGAGCCTCTGTGCCTCTAGGCCCTAAGTCCTAATCCACAACTCGACAAAAGAAGTACCTCTGTGTACAAGCAAAAGAAGGACCTTGCAGACCCCGCCCCAAATTCCTCAAAATTTGCGCGGGGCCCTTCGGGAGGCCTCCAAAGCATGGGTGTTCAGCCCGAACGCAACACCCCATTCCTAGGATCTGCCTGCTCTTCGCGTCAACTCTGGGCCTTGCCCACGCGCACTGCCTCTACGACCCGCGGCCCTCCATTTAGGGGGGGGGGGGTTGGTAAGGGGTCATTGAGGGTTTCGGATTTAGGATTTTTAGGCTTTCGGATGCAGGGTTTAAGGGTTTAGGGGTTTAGGGGTTTAGGGTTTGAGGGTTTGAGGGTTTAGGTTTTAGGGGTTTAAGCCGAGAATAAATAGAAGGTGTACAGGAGCAAATTCTCTTCGAAGTGTTTGGCCTTGACAACCCTTGTTATCTTCGAAGTTTTTGGCTTTGCCAATCTTTTGGAAACGCCATGTACCTTCTGTTCGCCCTTAATTGAAGAACTACAGAAAGGTAGGCCATGGAATAAACCCCAAAACAAGCTCTCGCTCAAAACCCCGGATGCAAACCCTATACACGTTCTATAAACCCTAAACCCTAAACCCCAAACCCGAAACCTAGATAAACCCGAAACTAACCCGAGGACAACAAGCCCACCCTGGAGAAGTGCGTGCGCAAGTGGGCACCTCATAGTCCGCGAAGTCTGGAGGGGCGGGTCTTTAGGGTTTAAGGTTTAAGGTTTAGGGTTTAGGGTTCAGGGTTTAGGTTTTGGGGTTTAGGGTTTAGGTTTTGGGGTTTAAGGTTTAAGGTTTAGGGTTTAGGGTTTCAGGGTTCAGGGTTCAGGGTTTAGGTTTTGGGGTTTAGGGTCAAGTTCCAGGTTGTGGGTTTGGGGGTGTCAGGGTTTAGGGGTCTAAGAGTAGTCGCATGACCCTCTGAAGGCCCTTTGTACGTTCTTCAAAGGGTTCACAACCGGAATTTGCTTTGGGAACACCTAAGCCAGAACCCCTAACAAACACCCGACGCGAATATCCTAAATCCGAAGTCAGGGGCACGTGCCTACAGAAAAAGCCCTAAACCCGAAGCCCCAAAGTCCAACCAAACATGCTACACCCCAAAACCCTGTTTGCGGGACTTGCTTCTATTCTCCCCTGTAACTGTAATCCCGTGAACAAACCCTCCCTAAACCCTCAACCCTAAACTGCAACCCAAACCTTAAACGGTCCTTGAACAAGCTTAGGTGCCGCCACAGCCCCACAGCTGGCTGTGTCAGCGGGTGCGTTGCTGGAGCGGGGGGGGGGTGGGGGTTCAGAGCCGAACTTGCAAAAACCCGAGCCCGCTCTAACCCGAAAACATTTGAGCCACTTTGGGCACGTCCCTTGCTGCAAAGTCGGCCAGAGTTTCCTTTCAGCGAGCCTTCAGTGACCCTCCAGCTTAGGGTTGGGCGTTGGTTTTCTCCCAAGCCCTGCAATAACCCGAAACCCTAAACCCTAAACCCTCAACCCTAAACCTTAACCCCTAAGCCCTCCAAAAACACGGGTTTGGAGCATGCGGAGTCTCCGGGTCCACTTGGCCCCGTGGAAGGATATCCGTACTTCGTGCGGCCGTCCTGCGCGGCATGCCTGGGGAACGGCGCAGCTCTGGCACCACTTAGGGTTTAGGGTTTAGGGTTGTTTAGGGTTTAGGGTTTAGGGTTTAGGGACGGTACATCCTGAACCCTAACTCGAATGCTTCGTATCCGAAAACGGGGCTTGTATTGCAGCCTCGAAACCGACATCTGCGCGATTGTATCAGGAAGCCGATCTTGCTGGGAAGCATGTTTTGCTGTGGTAATCCTAATGCTCCTAAACCTCATATCCTTCTACTTGGGTTGTAGTTAAGCAACCCTCAACCCTCAACCCTCAACCCTCAACCCTCAACCCTCAACCCTCAACCCTCAACCCTCAACCCTCAACCCTCAACCCTCAACCCTCAACCCTCAACCCTCAACCCTCAACCCTCAACCCTCAACCCTCAACCCTCAACCCTCAACCCTTAAAGCCTAAACCCTCAACCCTCAACCCTCAACCCTTAAAGCCTAAACCCTAAACCCTGAACCCTGAACCCCGAACCCTGAACCCTAAACCCTAACCCCCGAAACCACGCGTGCTTCCCAAAGGTCGTGTGCGCCTTCCGCTCCTGCCGCACCCAGTGCCTGCCTCAGCTTAGGGTTCAGGGTTTAGGGTTGGGGTTTTGGGTTTAGGGTTTAGGGTTTAGGGTTTAGGGTTTAGGGTTTAGGGTTTAGGGTTTAGGGTTTGGGGTATAGGGTTAGGGTTTAGGGTTTAGGGTTTTAGGGTTTAGGGTTTAGGGTTTAGGGTTTGGGGCCCAAAGTCTGTGAAGCCCTAACCCCCTAGAGCCCTAAAGCCGTGAAACCTCGAATCCCCTAAGAAAAATATTGCAGACCCGGCTTCTTTCAGAGCCCCCTCTGCCCCTTTTAGAACATAAAGCTTCTAAACTGTTGTGAACAAACTCCTTGGCTTTGAGGAGGGGAGGGGGGTGGGGTTCAGGGTTTCAGGGTTGTCTAGGCTTTTCGGGGTTTTGAGAGGACCAGCTGCATTCCCCCCCCCCCCTGTGAGCGTGACTGCAGGGCCTTGTGTATCTTCGATCTCCAAAATCAATCGTGTTCCTTACTGAGCTCTTGCTGTAGAAAACGTCAGAAGGTTGAGTTTTTTTGGGGTCTTTAGAGTTCCAAAGATCAATCACCATACGCCCCTGACACCCTGAGACCCCACACAAAAAATACCCTAAACCCTAAGCCTTCAAGGCGAGGATAAACATAAGTTACCCTAACACCCTAAACCCTAAAACCCTAAACTCTAATCGCTAAACCCTAAACCCTAAGGTCGCCAAAAGGCCCCAGAAGACCCGAAAAGGCTGCACAAGCGACGCCGGACACCCGCCCACAGCTTTCGCCCCTAAAACTTTCGCCCAAAACTGTCCTGGACACGAGCCCATCACGAACCCTATAGAGTTTCGATCCGAGGCACCAGAAACAGCTTTACAAAGGGCTTCAGAAGGTACCGGAACCTAAAACCCTAAACCCTAAACCCCAAAGCCTAAACCCTAATCCGTCACAACAGGCCACGGCAAGAGCGCGAAGCCATGACCGAACTCCCCCCCAACAAATCTCCGCATCTAAACTCGAGACCGTTTCACTCCGCTGGCTTTAGGGTTTAGGGTTTATAATAGGGTTTAGGGTTTAGGGTTTAGGGTATTTATAGATATTTTTAGGGTTTATAGGGTTTAAGGGGTGCAAGGGCTTCCAACTGGCCTCACAGAAGGCCACAGACTTGTCGCAAAAGCAGGCTCTCGGCCAGCCATCCCCAAAAATCCAGACCCAAGCCCTATACATTTTCTACAAGCCCTCCCCCCTCCCCGCCAACAACCAAGGTGCGCGAGCAGCATCAATGCTCCGGGTTGCACCACCTGCATCACCTCCAGTTGCGGAACGTGCTCCGGAGCGTACAAGGCTCGAAGCCCCCCTGCAGGGTCAGAATCGAGAGTGCAGAGAGGGGCTTCTGAGGTGTTTTTAGGGGGGTCCCGAGGTCTGCGCAGGTTTTGAGAGAGCCTCGAGAGCGCCCTCGAGAACCCTAAGCCCTCAACCCTAAACCCTAAACCCTAAACCCTAAACCCTAAACCCTGAAGAAAGACTCCGTAGCCTCGTCGACCTCAGGCCGGCAACTTTACGGAGATGGCGGAGCTGGCGGCCTTGTCCATGGACTTACAGCCCCAGGCCGCCCAGGGTTGGTCTAGGGAAATGCCGCGAAAAGCTTCCGTACGTAGGGTTATAAGGACTGCATTGATAGCTATAGCTGGTTATGGCCTTCTTTGGGCATTTATAACCCCACTGCTAAGCACCGCTAAGCCCCAAACCCTCAGCAAACACTTACAAGTACCCCGTGAACCTTCAAGTAGGGCTGCCGGTTCATATATGCAAGCAACCCTAAACCTAGACCCTAAACCCTAAACCCTAAACCCTAAACCCTAAACCCTAAACCCTAAACCCTAAACCCTAAACCCTAAACCCTAAACCCTAAACCCTAAACCCTAAACCCTAAACCCTAAACCCTAAACCCAAACCCCTAAACCCAAAACCCTAAACCCTAAACCCTAAACCCTAAACCCTAAACCCTAAACCCTAAACCCTAAACCCTAAGCCCTAAGCCCTAAACCCTAAACCCTAAACCCTAACCTGATACCCCCCCTGCTGATGCAGCAAAGTGCAGCAAAGCAATGCCGTGTTCGGAAGGCTCAAGAGCAGCCTGAGGAGGTACAGCACAAGGCCGGGGCGCAGTGCCCACAGAGACCCTGATAGGGTTTAGGGATTAGGGTTTAGGGTACCTTTGTAAACCCCCGAGCCCTATGAAGATTCAAGGGTTTTTCTGTGAGAACAGGGAGGGGGGGGTGCCGGGGTGTTGGGCTCTCTGAGCACTTGGGCCCAGCATTCAGGTCCTGACGGGGCTTAGCCTTCTTGGCAGGCTTTAGCGTGTGTGTAGTTTATGGATCTGCCCTAAACCCTAAACCCTAAACCCTAAACCCTAAACCCTAAACCCTAAACCCTAAACCCTAAACCCTAAACCCTAAACCCTAAACCCTAAACCCTAAACCCATAAACCCTAAACCCTAAACCCTAAACCCTAAACCCTAAACCCTAAACCCTAAACCCTAAACCCTAAACCCTAAACCCTAAACCCTAAACCCTAAACCCTAAACCCTAAACCCTAAACCCTAAACCCTAAACCCTAAACCCTAAGCCTGCACCTTTCGCCCTCAGGCTGAGACGGAGACCGAGACGGCAACCGAGACGGAGACCGAGACGGAGGCCCTTTAGGGTTTAGGGATTTAGGGGTTTAGGGTTTAGGGTTTAGGGGTTTAGGGGTTTAGGGATTGAGGGTTTAGGGTTTGGGGGTTTAGGGGTTTAGGGGTTAGGGGTTTAGGGGTTTAGGGGTTTAGGGGTTTAGGGGTTTAGGGGTTTAGGGGTTTAGGGGTTTAGGGGTTTAGGGGTTTAGGGTTCAGGTTCATGAGCACATATAAGTGGGGTTTAGGGTTGACAAAGGCTTTAGGGTCAGGGTCGAGCGTGTTTCGGGCGCGGGTTCCCCAAGCACAACTGCACGTGCTGCCCAATTACAACCATATTGAGGACACATATAAATATATATATATATATAGATAAACTCGGGTCGCAGCGACAGGTATGCTTAGGCACCGCTCCTCCAAGCGTGGCCCTCTGAAGCGCAAGTCAAAAGCAAATGGTTCCTGGAAGTCTCCTAGGGTTTAGGGTTTAGGGGTTTAGGGTTGAGGGTTTGCGAGTCTTGCAAGCAACTTCCGGCAACCTGCATGTCCAGGTGGCACCGGCGTCATCCAAGTCCAAAGGCTGCTGGGAGGACCGTGCAGAGTACTAACCCCTAAACCCTAAACCTAAACCCCAAACCCTAAACCCGAAACCCTAAACCCTAAACCCTCAACCCTCAACCCTAACCCTAAGCCCTAGACCCCAAACCCTTAAGGGTGTGAGGTTAAGCGCTTGAGTTCTGCAGGAAGGCAGGAGATGTCAGGAGTCCAAACCTCACCGGCAACCCTAACCCCCCCTCTCCACGCATCAAAACCCCAACGCTTTAGGGTTTAGGGTTTATAGGGTTTAGGGTTTAGGCAGACCTAAATACCCCCAAAACCCAAGACCCTAATCCCCCAAACCCCAAAACCCTAAACCCCCCAAAAAGCCCCCGAAACCTCAAACTCCAAGCCCGCATCCCCAAAGCTGCCAAAATCACAATGCAGAGGACCAGGCATCCTTGAAGTACTGCGGCACCAAGCACCTCAGCAGATCTCCCTGTGGGCTTTCGGGTTTGGGGTCTTAGGGTTCTCGGATTTGGGGTTTGAGGGTTTTAGGGCTTTAGGGCTTTAGGGTTTTTAGGGTTGTCGGGTGCTAGGGTTTGGGGTTTAGGGGCTTTGGGGTTCAAGAGGCTAGGATTGAACAGCAGATCGGCGAGCCCTGATTTCCCTTCCAGAGACCTGAAATAAGCCCCGTCCCTCCGAATATAAAAACCCAAACCCCAGGCCCTGGACGCTACACTTGTGAACCCCAAACCCAATACTCCCTCAGGTGCTTTGGCGCGCCGAACAAGCGGACTTGCGCCACCAATTGCCTGATGCTGGCCGCAAGATTTCCCAAGAGCTCCAAGAATGTAGAGCCTAAACCCTCGGTCGGTTTAGGGTGTAGGGGGTTAGGATTGCCCATATCTCATCCCCTTGGTACCAGGCCACTCTATCTTAGGCACCGCGCCTGCAGTCTCTGGATGCCTTTCTACCTTCCTGCTGGGAGGTTCATGGGTATGTATGAGTACTTACGGCCCACATATATGTTCAGGGCCTGGGGACATGGTCACGTCGCTTTAGATCGCCGCGGTTGTTTTTTGGGTCGAAGCTTTGCGTTTCGCATGGAGGCCGTTGCGATTTCAAAAGCCGGCAGCGTTTTGGAGAACCCCCGAAACGACTTTGTACTTTCAGACAGGAGCCCAGCAGTATGCAAGTCACAAAAAGCTGAAGAAGCACTCCAAGGCGTGAAGATAAAGCAGACATGCACTCAAGCGCATAGCGCCCCAAACAGGTGAAGACCTACGAAGACGGAGTAAGGTTGAGGAGCAAGGGTCGTGGGTTTCGGCCTAGCGAAAGGGTTTTGGACTGGCTCTTTGGCCACTCGCATGCACTGGTAAACCCTAAACCCAAAACCCTAAACCCCAAACCCTAAACCCGAAACCCGAAACCCTAAACCCTAAACCCTAAACCCTAAACCCTAAACCCTAAACCCTAACCCTAAACCCTAAGCCCTAAACCGTGCGGGCAGAGAGGCCCTGACTACTTGCATGCACTGGGTACTCATCGCTCGGCCATGAAACCATGGATAACAAGCAAACATGAAACCATTGAAAACAAGCAGAAGAGCCAGCATGATCTGAAAACACTGAAAAAACGGCACCAGAGCAAGGGCAACACTCAGGCAAAACGGAGCGACGTCAGCAACCTCATGTACCTTTAGGTTGTAAGTACTCTGGGGGCCTTTGAGCCTGAACCACCATCCTGAACCTCAAGTGGGCTCCCGTATCCAAGGAGGAACGAGAGGGGCATGAGCCAGCATTGCGCAGCATGCTTCGGAGACAAGGCACAAGGGACCCCAAAGCCCTTCAAACCCCAAACCCAACGCCATCACCTAACTGAAGGCACCCGATGTCTTTTCCCTGAGAGCAGAATCGGGTGGTGCCTTTTTTAGTGGTGTATTCCTTCTAGTTTTGGTTCCAGCAAGAGCCCCAAGTCCTAACCCCCCTGTCCTTAAAGCCCTAGAGCCCTGAACCCCTCAACTCCTCAATCCCTGAACCAGAGGCTTTTCTAGGGGCAAAACCTGTTAAAATACAGAGGCAATAGAGTTTTTCCTGGGGAAAACAAAGGACGTAGAGGTTCTCCTGGTAAAAGACATAGAGGGCTTGGCCCTTATGGGGGACTTGAGGGGTTTAGGGTTCGAGGGCTTTAAGGGTTTAGGGCATTTGGAGCTTCAGGGCTTTGGGGTTTGCGTGCGTCTGTTGCGATGCTGCATCAGCTGTTGCAGCATGCCATCCAAGAGTCGGTGGCTATTGGGGAGGGAAGAGGCTGCTTTGTCTAGCAATCTGCACTTTTTCCCAGAGACGGGGGAGGATGCCTGCTGTGTCGGTGTGTTTGTGTGTTTGAGGGCAAGAAAGGGTGTGTCACGGTGACAACGAGCAGTCTGGTTCGTAGAATTGCCGCCTGGCGCAGACGTTTCACTTCGGGCGGCCCTGTCTCGTCATATTGATGCTTAAATCGGGTGGAAGTGTTCGCGAACTGTGTTTTTGGGAATTGTTTTGGGGAGGTTACTCAACCCCAAACCCTAAACCCTAAACCCCAAACCCTAAACCCTAAACCCTAAACCCTAAACCCTAAACCCTAAACCCTAAACCCTAAACCCTAAACCCTAAACCCCGAACCCTCAACCAGGTTGCCTGCACCATCAAGAAGTGCCTCGCCGAGTGCATGGCCGATGGCAACAGCAACCGCTGCAAGACCTGCGTGCGTGGCAAGAGCCTGGGCTGCAGGTTTGGGGTTTAGGGTTTAGGGTTTGGGGTTTAGGGTTTAGGGTTTGGGGTTTAGGGTTTAGGGTTTAGGGTTTGGGGTTTAGGGTTTAGGGTTTAGGGTTTAGGGTTTGGGGTTTAGGGTTTAGGGTTTAGGGCTGAGGGGCTAGGGTTGTTGACCTTGTCTGTGGCTCTGTTTTGGGAGGGGTTGGGCCCTGTTGGGCCTCCTCCCATGGCCTCGCGACGACTCCGCAGCCTTGGAAAAAATTTCCTCCGGTGGTGGTGGTGTTGTGGGCGTATGAAGGTCGATTCCCAGGTGTCAAGGGTTTAGGCTTCAGGCTTTAGGCTTGCCGACCCTCAGCCCCAAACCCTAGACCCTAAACCCTAAACCCTGAACCCTGAACCCTAAACCCTAAACCCTAAACCCTAAACCCTAAACCCTGAACCCTGAACCCTAAACCCTAAACCCTGAACCCTGAACCCTGAACCCTAAACCCTAAACCCTAAAAACCCAAGCCCTGCCGAGGTGCGGCCGGTGCGACTCCGCGAAGTCCTCCTCCGATGCGGAAGAGGACACGGGGCCGGGGCTTACTGTTGGTTTAGGGTTTGGGGTTTAGGGTTTGGGGTTTGGGGTTTAGGGTTTAGGGAATGGACGAGGCCGCACTGAATTTGGGGCCTCGGGTTGCACGGTCCTTTGGAGCGGCCACGCATCACGCAGGACGCCTTTTTGTCGGCAGTGATTGCGACTGCCCTCCCAGCGGGGGCCGAGCAAGCTGCCATCTACCCATAAGCCGTGATGGCAATGGCACCTTTCTTTTGCCTGCATGTAGTGACGTATAGACTTCGCCGTAGTGAAGAGATTGTGCATTTTGTGATTTCGCGATTCCATGCGGAGGCATCTGGACAACTCATCAGTGTCATCCGCCACAGCTTGACATGTGCGCCCTTCTTTTAACAGAAAGTTGCGGCGCAGATAGAGCGCTAATTCACCTGATGACGATTCTCTGTAGGCGAAAAGCTTTGACTGCGTGGGCGGATCACATGAGGTGCTGTGTCCTAAGCTCAACACACTACACGCCCTAAACCCTCAACCCTAAACCCCAAACCCCAAACCCTAAACCCCAAACCCCAAATTTTAAACCCGAAACCCCAAACAAACCCAAAGCCCTGAAGCCTAAACCCTAAACCCTAAACCCTAAACCCTAAACCCTAAACCTAAACCCTAAACCCTAAACCCTAAACCCTAACCCCTAAACCCTAAACCCTAAACCCTAAACCAGGGATTGCAAGCATGACGCCTGAAGAGTCATCCCAAGGTCGGCGCAACCAAGACCCGGCTCCAGTTGTCAAGGTGCGCATCAAATTGGGCCCATCGGGATTTGGGGTTTGGGGTTCAGGGTTTGGGGTTTTGGGTTTTCGGGGTTTAGGGTTTGTGTGTTTAAGGTTTTAGGGGGTTTGGGGTTTGGGGGGAGGTCGGGTGTTCCCCATCAATCCTCTTCTCTGCGGAGGTATCGGGGTAGCAGGGGTGTCAGAGACTGGAAGACGCGAACAGCCAGTGCTTGAGGTGTTTGGGGTTTAGGGATAGCTGTACCCCTAAACCTTAAACCCTAAACCCTAACCCCTAAGCCCTAAGCCCCAAACCCTGAACCCAAAGCCCCAACACTCCAGGGCTCATGCTTCGTGATTGAGGACTTCAGGGAAGATGGCCCTAAACCCTAAACCCCAAACCCCAAACCCCAAACCCCAAACCCTAAACCCCAAACCCTAAACCCTAAACCCTAAACCCTAAACCCTAAACCCAAAACCCTAAACCTTAAAAAAAAAACCCTAAACCCTAAACCCTAAACCCTAAACCCTAAACCCTAAACCCTAAACCCTAAACCCTAAACCCTAAACCCTAAACCCTAAACCCTAAACCCTAAACCCTAAACCCTAAACCCTAAACCCTAAACCCTAAACCCTAAACCCTAAACCCTAAACCCTAAACCCTAAACCCTACCTTTTGAAGCTCAGGCCATTGCGCCGGCTTCCCGAAGAGCTGCTGAAGCTTCGGCTGCCCCCCCCAAAGCCTTATGGCTCCCTGTTTCGGCGCTTGCCTCCTATCTACAATGCCACAGCTTTTCCTTCATTTTAGGGTTTAGGGTTTAGGGTTTAGGGTGTAGGGTTTAGGGTTTAGGGTTTAGGGTTTGGGGTTTGGGGTTTAGGGTTACAATCGCAATACTTAGATCCGCTCGAGTTTCCATTGAAGAGGGCAGGAGCCTGAATGCGCCGCAGCCTTCGTAGTCCCGTCCTCCTCTGTTGCACGAGACGCGTTGCGCAGCTGAAAAGGACACACTTGGGGCTCAGGGTGTGGCAAGAATGGCTGCCCTTTGACCTACACTACACCCTAAGGCCCACTGCAGATTTGGGGGGGGGGGGGGGGCCTTTGGTGTTCCCGAAAAGGTGGGATGTCGGGGGTTAGGGTTTAGGGTTTACGGTGTAGGTGTCGGCAAACCCTGCCTCGTTTGGGACGGCACCAAACTAAGGGCAAGTGCGTTTGTGCCCAAAGCTACACGGAATCTGTTTTCCAGCTGCCGTGGCCTGAACCACACCTCAAGCCCCAAACCCCCAAACCCCAAGCCCCAAACGCCTAAATCCCAAATCCCCAAACCCCCAAACCCCCAAACCCTAAACCCTAAAGCCTCAAGCCTAAACAAAGACGAGCCGCTCCGAAGACGCCAGGCAGGGAACGCCCCCATTTTTTTCTTCGGGTTTGGGGCTCAGGGTTTAGGGTTTTGGTCTAGGGTCTGGCGTCTACGGTCTGGGTAAGGGGTTATTCCCCTTCATATAAAAAATTGCATTGAACGTTGCATGTCTTGTGAGGGATAAGTCCTAAACCCGAAACCCTGAACCTTTGCTCCTGGCAGGCTTCGCTGCCACCACCAGGCAGCCATCCCCCAGGGCGTCGGGTCGGGTTCAGGCCTTGGATGGAATTCCTTGAATTTAGGGTTTAGGGTTTAGGGTTTAGGGTTTAGGGTTCAGGGTTTAGGGTTTAGGGTCATGGTCTCTTTTGGGGGTCTTCGGGCGTGGGATGGCCAAGCCCCAGACACCCTCAAGCGCCCTACCTAAAACCCCAAAGCCCGCAACACGACTTGCGACCCTAAGCCCTAAACCCTAAACCCTAAACCCTAAACCCCAAACCTTAAACCCTAAACCCTAAACCCTAGTTTGCTTCCTTTTCTTGTGACTCTAGGGCTTTTTTGAAATCCACTGATAAAGGTTTTGATGGCTTCAGGGTTTAGGGCGCGGGGGAGATACAGGGTACCGAATTCCCCTCCTAAGAGCTACTTTAGGGTTTATTTAGGGTTTAGGGTTTCGGACTTCAGTGGACATCGATCTGCAGGACAACACGCAAGGAACTTCGGCTGCTTTAAACCCTAAACCCTAAACCCTAAACCCTAAACCCTAAACCCTAAACCCTAAACCCTAACCCCTAAACCCTAAGCCCTAAACCCTAAACGCTGGGTTCAAAATTTTGCGAGTTCCAAGCTGCCCTTGACACAAGAAGAAGTTCCCTGCCGCAGCCGGTCACGCTTCTCAGCTGCGGCTCTGAAGCCGCTGTGAAGTAGCCGTCAGATCCGCATGTGATGGTTTAGGGCTTAGGGTTTCGTGTTTAGGGTTTAGGGCTTAGGGCTTAGGGCCAGTTGGGGGGCCTTGCTGTGTGAGTGATTCCAGGATCCTAAGCCCTAAAGCCGATCCTAAGCCCCCAAAAGCCTAGTAGCCTAAAGCCCTTCACCTCCCATGCTTCAACCCCCCAACCCCTAAAACCCACAACCTTTTAGACCCTAAACCCTGAGTTGCCCCCAGCAAGCCCTGACACTCACACGCACGAGTCTCTAGCCAAGCCTTCGCGCAAGATGCGCGGCCTAAGTGTGCCAAGCCTCGATGTGCATCTCATGGGAGATGCCATTGTGCAGAGACCGCCGCGAGCTGAGCGAATGGGGAGCTCAGAAAGGGGGGTCCGAGTTGCAGCCATGTTCAACAATCCTGCTCATCATGTGGGGCAGCTTTCTAAATTACATTTAATATATATATATATATATATATCAATATATCAATGTAATATAAATCTCAATCAATAAGTAAATAGACACATAAATACATAAATAAAAAAAAGGAATATATATATATGTATATATACATATATGTACATTGTGTGTTTGTTTGTGAGTGATTTTTTTTTTTTTTTTTTTGTGTGTGTGTGTGTGTGTGTTTGTCTGCGTGTTTGTGTGTCTGGGGTTTCGGGCCGTTGGTGTTGTCCTCTGTTGTCTTTGTGTTTGGGGGTCTGTGGATTTATGTTTTGCTGGGGGTGAGTTCCTTGAGACGAGGGGGCGGGCGGGTTTGGGGGTTTAGGGTTCGTAGTTTTAGGTTTGTGGTGTAGAGGTTGAGCGTTGAGGGTTTAGGGTTTAGCCTTTCGGGTTGACCGTTTAGGGGTCGAGGTGATGGCGGCCAGCGACAGCGAGAGGCCTTGGAGGGGGGGTGGGGGGGCGCAAGGTTTCCTGGAGTCCCGTGTGTCAAGAGGTAAGGTTTATTTTTTATTTTTATTTTAACAGGGACCTTTGGGACAACGGTCCCCCTTAAACCAAAAGCCCTAAACCCTAAGCCCTACACCCTGAGAAGGGGAATCCTTACTAACTTGGGAACGTCTTGCTTTGGGCAGCACAAGTACTTGTATCTTGAACAACTGCCATAGCCTTGTTTCGGGGGCGTGGGGGGTTCGTGCAGGTATTGCCATTGTGCTGAAACCACACCACCGAACAACACCCTGGACGCTAAACCCCAAACCCCAGACCCTAGCCCCAAATCCGCAAGCCCCAGTCCCCGGACCATAGCCCATCCCTACTCGGAGGTTTACGGGTACGGAAAACACAAGTAGAACAATTTGGTCCGGAGTACGCCCGAAACCCCAAACCCTAAACCTTAAACCCTAAACCCCTGAACCCCTGAACCCTAAACCCTAAACCCTCCAAGTATGCTCCCCCCAAACCCACATTTTCCTGGAGCGCGCTGCAGGGGCAGCACGGCGCCACGGCGCGTTTGGGGCCCTGGAATGGGATCTTGCCCTGGGAACAAGAGCTCGGGGTTTTGGGATTTGGGCTGTGGCATGTTTAGGGTTTTAGGATGGTTTAGGGTCCAGGGTTTAGGGTTTGGGGCTTAGGGAGGCGTCGCGCATCTCGGTGTGACATCTTGAGGCATCCTCCAGCAGTGCTGTTGCGGAGGAGCCGGCGAACAACGAGGCAGGCGGCCCTAAGCCTTGCTTGGAGCCCCCTGTTTGGTAGCTTGGTAGCCCAGTACCCTTTTTGTTTTGTTATGGGTTCCCTTATAAAGTATCCAACTCAAAAAAGGGTGCCCGTATCAGAATATGGTTGCCTGGGCTGCCAAGGTCGGGTTATACGCAGGGTAACGATAAACCTCCGAGTGGACCCTAATATCCAATGTTCGGGGGCAAGTGCAGCGTATCGACTTCCGTAGTGTTGGGGCCTGTGAATCCTAAGCCCCCGCGACGCATGCAAGAGATTTGGGATTTAAACTTGGGTGCCTTGTGCAGGCACTGCGGTACTGCCTTCACCTCAGCATGAGGGTCTGCTCCTGGGTTAGTGCTGGCAGTTGGTTCCGGCTTGGTCTCTGTGTCTGGAGTTTTTGGGATTCAGGGCTTTGTGAGCTGGATGCGCTCGAGTCGCTGCCTGGAAGCCACAAGAGACAGATGAGAACATTGACAATAACAGCATTGATGACAATGAACGAGTACTG